GTGCTGGGATTAAAGGTGTGCACCACCACACCTGGCCTCACAGCTTTTCTTGAACCTAGAGAGTTGAGGTGACTAGAGGCAGGATCCCTCACATAGAGACACGAGCTAAGTACACATGCACTTGAGGTAGCTGTGAGATACCACAAAAGCCAGCAAGAAAAATGCAGTATGATACCTCAAAAATCACCAAAGCAGTGGTCCCAGGGGGCTGATGGTGAAGGGAGGCGGGGAATAGGGGTTAAAGTGGGAGATCCACAACCTAACTGTGCCGTCACACAGCGAGATGTATCTGTCAAAACTTACAGAGTTGCAAAAAGGTGAGGTCCTCACTGAGAGTGAATTTACTGTATGTATATGTAAAAGAACTTGTTTAAGAGGGAAGAAGGTCTACACAACTGCTATACCATGGTCTCACCATGCTGCCTGTTCCCTGCAGAACAGCCATGGTATGTGCGGCATCTCTGTGAATCAGCACTTTGAAAATGCACTGCATGAGTATGAAACCTTCTCAGTCTGACTCACTAACATACAAATAAAGTGCCCACGCTCCAGCTCCTCAGGAGCCCATGCCTCACATAAGCCAGCACAGGCAGTGGAAAACATCACCACAGTGAGCTTGGATGCTAGGCAACAGGCTAGCTCCACCCACCAATTGCAGCCTGAGCACAATTCATGCCTTTCAAATTCACATCTCAACTGAATACGGTGGTGCACACCTGTAACCCCAGCTACTCAGGAGGCTGAGGCACGAGGATCACAAGTTTTTTGCCTGGGCAACATAGAGAGATCTTGGGGCTGGCCCCTGGCCTCGCAGGTGCCTGGGAGGAGGGCCCCCGGCGCCCAGGAAGCCACGCGGCAGGGAGTGCCAGCCTTTGGGCTGGCCCCCAGCCTCACAGGCGCCCAGGAGGAGGGCAGCCGGTGCCTGGGAAGCTGTGCGGCAGCGCGCGCTGGCGTGCGCCATCCCTTCAGCTGGCCACAGCAGCACAACTGAGAACTATCATGGCACAGAGAAGCTATGACACAACTGGCCCACCAGGCACCAGCTGTGGAGGCCCGCCCGCGAATCATTCCCACATGGAGAAACCCCTGGGAATACATGCCACACAACAGGTTGCTCTTGCCCCTGCCGTTGAGAACCAGAAAGGTCCAGAGGCAGTGGAGGAGTAGCTGCTGAACAAGGACTCAGAGAACATGAGAATACAGACTACGCCCAAAGAGTCAGAGGTCTAGTGGACCGGAGCCACGAGAGCCACTCAGAAGCTGCAAACCAGGAGGACCTTGTACAATACCTGGGGAGATACCCCGGAAACCATTCTACCCCTGACAGTAAAGGCTGTGGTGGAGGAACGCATGAAGTGCCGGAGAAGTCTGCACCGAGATTCCTGCTGCCTGTGCTGATGGTTGGGGAGAGGACACTAAGTGGTTGTGGGGTCCCAATGCAATGGCAGGCTGGAGAGAAAAAGCTACAAAAAATGGCTTTTGCCCCAGACGGCTCACTTGAGATGTCAGTAAGAATTGCCTCCTCAGTTTTCTATAGCTGTGATGAGGCAGCCAAGGAGAGAAAACAAAGAGACAGTGAAAAAGCAGCTGCTTTTACTGCAGCATTAAGAGAAACAGACCCTAAGTCTGATTCTGGGGGCCCCAAGAAGAACTCAACGGCTACATTCACCTGCTACCACTGTTAAAAGCCAGGCCACCTCAAGAGGAACTGCCCTAAGAGGCCCCTTGGCCATGCCCTGAATGCAAAGGTGACCACTGGAGATCAGTCTGCCCTCTGAAGTGGAGGCTCCAGAGCTCAGACCCATTCTACCAGGTAGTCCAGCAGGAATGAAGGGGTCTGGGGCATACTCTGCCCTCTCCCTCTGGCCAGACTGTCATCTCCATGGAGGATCCCTGGGTAATCATGACTATGGAGGAAAAAGAAAACAGCCTGTTGCTAAACACAGGTGCAAGTCTCTCGGTCCTTCTTTTCAATCCTGGCTTTCCTTCCAGCTATCATACCTCAGTGAAAGGAGTCACTGGTGAGGAGGTAATACACCATTTTTCACAACCCTTAGGCTGTAACTACTTGTTAGATCCTTCTTGCATATCTCTGTCTTCCTGAGAAACCACTTTGAAGATACCACCACATGTTACAGCAGCCATTGATATTTTCCTGCTAATCTGTCCATAACTCTGTAATGTTTGTATTGTTCCTATGCTATTTTGTAAATGGATGTATGTTTATTATTATGTGTTTCCTACAACAACCATTGAGAATAGTTAATGATTATTCAACTGGTCACTCATGTATAGCTCTATTTATTTTCTTTAGAAGCCACGATGAAGATCCCAAAGTATAGCACAACAACTACTGATAATCTCCTACCTCTTTTGTCTGTAACTCACCATTATTTGTCTATTTGTTTTTCTGAGAAACTATCTTGTAGATAACAATATGTAAAACAATAACCATTGATAATTTCCTACCACTTTGTCTGCAATTTGGTAAGCCCCCCTTATTACTGTTATCCTTCTTTTACTCTTTAAAATAAAAAAAGAGAAAAAAAAACATACAGAGATTTCATCTCCAAATAAAGAAAATATAAAAAGGATAGAGCTCAGTGGCAGAGTGCCTGCTTAGTGGGTTTGTCCCTGGGTTTAATTTCCAGTACTGGTAAGAAAATAATCACCACTTAGAAAAATGACATAGATTATAGACCTTTCAGATCATGTGCAGAGAAGCAAACCCAATCATCAAATCTGCAAATGTCACCAGGCATGGTGATGCATACCTGTAATCCTAGGACTCTGGGAGACTGAGGCAGGAGGATGCATGTTTGAGCTCAGCCTGGGCAATTTAGCAGTTTAGGAGACCCTGTCTCAAAATAAGAAACAGGCTAGGGACATAGCTGAGTGCAAACTGGGTTTCATCCTTTGTATTGCCAAAAAAAAAAAAAAAAGAAAAAAAAATAATTGCAAATGTCTTTGGCTAAAAAACAGCCTTTAACCAGGTATGGTAGCATATGCCTGTAATCCCAGCTATTCATGAGGCTGAGGCAGGAGGATCACAAGTTCTAGCAATTTAGCAAGACCTTTCTCAAAAACAAAACAAAACAAAACAAAAAAGGGCTGGGGATGTAGCCTAGTGGCAGAACTTTTGCTTAACAGGCACAAGAGAGGCCCTGGGGTTAAATACCACAGCAGGTATAGGGCATGAGAAAACTACAGCCTTCAAACCAAGAGAGAAGCCTTTCAGCCTGCTCAGCCACAGGCACCTCAATAAACACAAAGAAAGCTGTCCTGTACTGGACAAAGCAGGTGCCAGGCCAAACCAGGACAGCCAGAGGTCACTGTAATCTCAGCACCCACCTCACAAAAGGTATCGCCAATTTTTTAAGGACTACTTTTTAAACATCTACGCAGGACCTGCCCCACTAGGATTTCATAATGCTGTGAGAAGAATAATGCTGTGAGGAAAGTAGAATAATGCTGTGAGGAAAGTAGAATTTCTCCTTCTTTAACAGAAAGTTACCCTGTGAGTAGCATGGGATACTGCAGAGATGAGAGGTCAGTGTGAGGTGACAGTTACAGAAATGCACTTAACCACTTCACTGACTCAGAACAGAGAGTTTCAGTGCTCACCAGTGACACAGAGGCAACTACAGGGTCAGAGGCCGGATGGACAAGCCCCAGGGCCCCTAACATGATCCCCATTAAAGCACCACCTGTGTTTCCTTCTGAAGTCATCAGGGACTTAAAAGCAGGTTCCTTGTTGTTTTTTAACTAAAACCCATGATACTTTGCTTGGGCCCACAGATGCCCAATAGGTAACTAAAATCAGAACAAGTCTGACGCTCATTTTGTACCGTTTATCACCTTAACACTTTGGATACAGCACATTAATCATTTAGGAAAACTGGCAGAGCCAGGTTGATTAGCCTTAAATTTCCCTAGACTATCTCATGCCTCCTCAAGACCAAGGACACCAAGATAAAAGAGCCTCTGCAGGAACACCAGGACACCCAGTGTCTCCAGTGCCCTAAGCCTAGGGTCACCCTGTATCCCAGCACACTCTCACATGTCTGAACTGCTCCAAGCAAGTGATCCTTGTGCTGTAAGGATTCCACAGCAGCTGCAGAGCTGGCCTGGAGACAGTGATCAACCAGGCCCACAGCCCCCATGAAACTGCTGGCCACTCCTCTGTCGCAGGGCCAGTTTGACCTTCCTCTTCAGACCTGTGCCCTCTTCAGTTCTCAAACCGAAACCTTTTCCTACTCCCTTTTTCCTTTGTTGGGGGGCCAGCTTGACCTTTGTCAGAGCTGCACTCCCTTTATTTTCCCTTACTTTCTGATTCAAGCTCTTGCCTATGAATTCATGCTGAAAGCCTCCATTTTCATTTCCATTTTCAGTGAAGCAAGGGCCCCTGCTAGCTGGTGACATCAGTACTGGCCACCTCTCACCACACCAGGATCACCAAGCCCCTGGGCCTTTTTCCTTGCAATGGTTTTGCTATGGAATCTTATCCTAATTTTTAAGCAAAAGTTTAGTTTTTAAGCTTTCAGAAGAAAATTACTGAAAAGACATTTTAAATTTTAGGAATTCTTTAAAACAAGAGCTCAGTTTAAGCTTAGCTTAAGGCTTTTCTAATCACTTCTCAGCCTTTTGGCTAAGATCAAGTGTATTAAGGCTTTTTTTAGCTGGATATTAGTAACATGAGGATAACTCCAAGTAACAAGCAGCTAAATCTACAGTTTTGCTTTATTTTTTTTTACTTCGATTGATGCTCATAACCACACAGAACAAGCAAACTAACTTGTGCTTCCTTTAGATAAGTCATTCTTAATAACTGATATGCATCAGAATCCCTTTGGGTGATTTTTGTAAAATACACACACCTGGTGCCTGTCCCAGATCTCTGGAGTCAGATTCTCCAGGGTGAAAACATCCCTGAGAGATGTGCACACACTGATGGTAATCACTGCTCCCTGCAACAGTCACCGCATCTGAGAATTACTTACTTGTTACAATTCCAGCCAAAGCAAAAACAAACTGATTTTCATCAGAATCAAGCTCCTTGACGTCCCCATCCAGTGACTTCACAAAACTCTCCATTGTTTGGCCAGTGATGCTGAAAAACTTCGAAGCTTTATCCTGAAAGTGTGGAAATGGAAGTATCACAAATTTTCACACATAAAGTGTAAAAGTATTTTAGAAGTGTAGGATACAGAAGAAAGATTCTGGTTTAATTAGAGGACTATTTAAAAATCTGTTTCTCCATAAAAATTCCCATTAAGAGATCAGAGAAAGTAGCTTGGGGCACATAGGATTGATACGTTTCTATCTATCTAGCTACATATACAATGAAGTAGGACAGATTTATACAATGATGGACGTACTAGGATGCACGAACAGAAATATACTAGAAAAAATAGCTTACATGTTTTAGAATTTTTCAAACCTTTAGCAGACCTTTTTTTCAAGAAAATCTTAACCAAAACCACAACATGTAAAAGAGATGGACACAGTAAAGAAGCTCCTCTGGCTTCAAATCCTCATTATTTGGCAAAAACTTTCCGCATTTAGTTGGGGGTACTATGGTTCTGAAGAGAACTTTACAACCAAGGCACATTTCAGTTAAGTAAAATAAAAAAAAAAAAAATTAGAAAAAGAAAAGCATGCACTTAAAAAGGCAGAAGGGCACTTCCTGGTAACAGAAATACTCTAAGATTGGATGGCAGTGACAGTTTCACAACACTAGAAATTTGCTAAAAAACACTGAATTGTACACTTACAGTGGGTGAATTTAACAGTATGGAATTTACACCTCAATAAAGCTCAGAGCCTTCTAAAATACACCTAGGCCGCCCACCTGAAGTCAAATGCAACTATTTCTCTAAGTGATAAGAAATCCGCCTCCTCACTTCCACTCCCTTCACAACCCCTGTGTTCCCAGGGTCTTGCCTCAGCGGTCAGCTCCACCCGCTCACTGCATCTGCCTCAGCTGCCATGGCTGTCACATGTGTTCATCTTTCCCATCTCCCCTCCACAGAGCCAAACCAGACTTCCTGTCTAGTCCCCGTGCCCATAGCCCCGCATCTGTCCTCATTCACTGTCAGGTTAATCCTCCAAAATTCTGCTCTTGTTCTGTTCATCAAGGCCCATTTCAAATCCCTTCCCTTCTGGGAAGTTCCCCAATATATAAACACATATTTACATATGTACACACATATGTTAAAGAATATACAGCATCCAAAAAGCTAAGTATTATATTACATTACCCATGAGATAAAGTATAGAAAAGCACTTGAAACCATGTTAAACTCTTTACACCCACAAGTTAATAATACCAAAGTGGTAAAAGATCTGCAAATACCCGTGGCTGCTAGAAGACCAAAGACCTACTGCATTCATTTTACACATCCCCAGCACCAGGTCACAGAGGACTGCGCACAGTCGGTATCTGCTAACCGTCTGATGAATAAACTAGCGCAAATGGACAGCAAGACATGGACTTAGTCTCCAAAACCTCAGCAGACACACAGCCTCTCCAAGCTACGTCAGTAGCACCCAGAGAGCTGCTGGGCATGCTTACTCCTCCCAACATGGCTTTGACGACCTCCTCACTGCTGGAGACGCCCCAGAGCAGGGTGCAGGCGGTTGCTCCCATTTCTGTGCAGTATTCTGCCTGCTGCAAGAGCTGCTGCTTCGCTTCATTCAGCTGCTGCCGAAGAGCCAGTTTCTCCTAAATTCACAACAAAATAAAATCAGAAAAACAGATACTGTTTGACCTTTAAATGTCTCTACTGCATCTCCTCTTTCATTGAGATTTTGATTAAAGAAAAGAGATGCATACAGAATTATAGAAAACAGTTGCAAATGAAAACTAGCTCTTAAGAGAGTCATAATCCATATCTAAAAAGTAGACTTTCGAGTCTTGGAGAACATACAGCTATATTACGGCTTTAGATAACTCCAAAGATCTGAATCCATCCGCTAAAAGTAGAGTCAAGACAGGAGGCATTTCAAGGGGCCACCCCCAGAAAGGACCAACAGGGACTCCTGAGCAAAGCAGCAACCAAACCTGCAGTCCACACACAAGGAAGCACTTCTGCTTCTATGTAGCTCAACCCCCTGTCCAGACACTATGGACTGGAGGCAGACATAGAATAAAGGCGCTCAGGTACTCCCATGGGATTTGAGGGAAACAAATGTTGTACAAAGACTCCTCCTGAATTAACATACCCTCAGATCCTCATGAGAATATGGTCAAAAGTGCTGGTAAATATTAAATACACATCTGCGAAGCTAAACAAGGAGTAAAGCCCAGAACTAAGACCAGGAAGAAAGCTCAGTGCAGGGGCAAGAGGAGTGTGGAGGCAGCGTCCCAGGCAAACACTGACACAGCACAAGGGGACCAGGAGAGAGTTCTTACCCTTCCTCCCACAGTGTCTGAGAACACCAGAAGATAGGCAAGTCTCTGCCAGGTTCTCTTTAAGGAGAAAGACAAGAAACTGTCCTCTTGACAGCCTCTGACCATGTGAACATACCTCAAGGAATTACCTTCAGGGGGCCTGGAGGTTGAGGGGGGCCTCCCAGCCTTCCCAACTACTATCAGAAGTACCTGAAATGCCCCTGAAAGGAGACAGTGTTTCCTGATCTAAGAGACAAACTGGGCTAGGGCCTGCATGCACGGGGGCCCTGGGTCTGATCCCCAGCATGGGGGAGAGGGGACATAAAAATATAAAAATCTGCAGGGCGTGGTGGCGCATGCCTATAATGCCAGCACTCAGGAGACTGAGGCAGGAGGATTGTTTCGAGCTCGAGGCCAGCCTGGGCTACAAAGCGAGCTCAAGGTCAGCCTGAACTGCACAGGAAGACCCTGTCTCAAAAAGAAAAAAAAAATAATGAAAAATTTAAAAATTAAAACCTAAATTTTATATATACATATATATACACACACACATATATATATATACATATACATATATATAATTACTTAAGTAAAGCACACAGTTAAATTATATCAGATGTTTTAGGGGTTTTGATTGATTTTTTGAGAAATAAGTACAAGACAATTAAGAGAGAAAGGGCTTGCAGTCTCTGGGAAAAAATGTCAGACATCACTGACCTCCTCACTGGCTGGCATAAGGGGTTACAGTGCCTGGGGACCACGCATTTGGTACAGACAGCTCCACACACATATATTACATATACACATTTACTCTAGGAGAACACACGCGCTGATTCTACTTGATGAGACTTATGGACCCCATGTTTTTCCCATCCGCTTCATAAAGCAGCTGGATTCTGACTTGCCCATCAGGTGAGTGTAACTCAGTGCACTGGATGGCAGAATTCTATGGCAGCATTTCCTTTTGGAATCCAGCTGTTCTCAACATGCAAAGGGTCTGCACTGCTCTTAGTCTGGCTGTGGTGGTTCTGCAAGATCACAAAGGACGCACTGACAGTGACCAGGCAGGGCTGTCCCCACAGCCACGTGGTGGCTGCAGCAGCAGCACTGCAGCACAAGGCTGCACACACAGCACAGTAACACTGAAAGCACCTCAAAGACGACTCCATTCACAACGTTACAAGTAGGAAAACAGCAGTAAACTTCGGAAAAGGGATGTGAGACCTGTGCAGTAAATGCTAAAAGAAAGCATTACAGAGCAAGTGAAGAGCTAAATAAACAGAGATGTACACCATGCTTATGTACTGGAAGATTCAATACTGGAAGGATGGCAGCTCTCCCCAAAATGATCTACAGATCCAACACAGCCTCTGTAAATCTCAACAGGTTTTCTTTTTCTTTTTTTTTTTTTTTTTGGTATAAAGTGATATGACTCTAAACTTCATATGGAAATGCAAAATATTCAAAATATCCAAAAAATATCTGAAAATTAATGATGTTAGAGGACCAGCACTGCCTTATTAAAACAAAATGAAACTTATTATAAAACTACAGAATGCAAACCAGGGTGGTACTGGCATTAGGACAGACATGCAGATATGTGAAACACTCGACTTCCCTTCTTCCCCTCTTCCCTCCCCGTCCCTTCCTCTCATCCATCCATCCATCCATCCATCCACGGTGGTTGAACCCAGGGCACTTGCACTGGGCCACATCCTCAGCCCTTTTTAACTTTTTAAAAATTTTTAAGACAGGGTCTTACTCAGGTGTGTTAAGACCTGGAGTGTTGAGCCACCTGGAGTGTTGAGATTACAGGTGTGCACCATCAAGCCTGGATCAAACACTAATATTTATGTCAAGTGATGGTTTTTTTTTTTTTGAGACAGGGTCTTGCTCTGTAGTCCAGGCTTGCCTTGAACTCAATATATAGCCTAGGCTGGCCTTTAATTCACAGCAATCCTCCTGCCTTAGCCTCCCAAGTGTTAGGATTACAGGATTACTTAACATGCCCCGCCTATGTCAAGTAATTTTTAACAAAGGTGCCAAGGCAATTCAATGGAACAAAATGTTAGACTTTCAAACAACTTGTGCTAAAACTATATATGTAGGTGCAAAAAATTAACTAAAAATGAAATTATGCTCTTTAATGTAAAACTTCTCAAAGGAAGTCTTTGTAATTACGGATTAGGCAAATATTTCTTAGACATATCACAACAAAATCATGACCCATTTAAAAGGTTAATAATACAGCAGCCATTGATATTTTCCTACTAATCTATCCATAACTGTATAAAGTTTGTAATGTTCCTATCCTATTTCATAAATGGATGTCTGTTTATTATTATGTGTTTCCTACAACAACCATTGAGAATAGTTAATGATTTTTCAATAGGTCACTCATGTATAGCTCTATTTATTTTCTTTAGAAGCCACTTTGAAGATACCAAAGTATAGTACAAGAACTCTTGATAATCTCCTACCACTTTTGTCTGTAACTCACTATTATTTGTCTATTTGTTTTTCTGAGAAACTATTTTGTAGATAATAATATGTAAAACGATAACCATTGATAATTTCCTACCATTTTGTCTGTAATTTGCTAAGTCCCCCCTATTATTATGTTATCCTTCTTTTATTCTTTAAAAAAAAAAAAAATAAACCAAAAAATAAAAAAATAAAAAAATAAAAGGTTAATAAGTTGAACTCCATCAAAATGTCAAACTTTTTTGCTTTTTTGAAACAAAATCTCTCTGTGTGGTTCAAGCTGGCCTCAAACTCAGAGCAATCCTCCTGTCTCTGCCTGCTGAGTGCTTGGATTATAGGAATGAGCCACCACACCCAGCTCCAAAATGTCAAACTTTGACTCTTCAAAAGACATCACTGAAAAAACTGAAAGACAAGCCATACACTAAGATTAACCATTTCCAATCACATACAATCTGTCCTATGTATCTGCAAGTTCCAGGTCCACTGATTCAACAAGGACTGAAAATATTCAGAAAAAAAGGTATCTGTACTAAATACATGCATACTTTTTTGTCTTGACAAATAGTCCTAAACAATACATGTAACAGCCATTTTTATGACATTTACATTGTATTAGGTATTATAAGTAATCAGAAATTTTGATTTAAAATATATGGCAGAAGGGGCTGGGGATTTAGCTCAGCGGCAAAAGCGCCTGCCTGGCAAGCGCAAGGTCGTGAGTTCGGTTCCTGGTACCGGAGAAAAAACCAAAAAAAAAAAATAAAAAAAAAAAATAAATAAAATATATGGCAGAAAATGTATACATTACAAGCCAATACTAAACCATTTCACATAAAGAACTTGAGCACAAGAAGATCTGCATATGGATCCAGGAACGGATTCCCCTCAGATACTCAGGGATGAATGCATCTGTAAGAAGACTTTTCCCCAGATCACATAAAGACATTACAACTCAATAACACAACTTATTAAAAACAGGAAAAAATACCTCAGTAGACATTCTACTAAAGAAAATGTAAGGAGGAATAATATATATATGAAGAGCTGCTCAACATAATTAGTCATGGGGAAAATCCAGCAAACAGTCTAATCTAAGGCGGGACCCTCACGCAATGCTGGGTGAGTGTGGAATGGTACACCATCTTTGAAAAATAATCAGGCAGTTTCCCAGAAAGCAAACCACACTGAAAACTCAACAATTTCATTCCTAGACTTCATTCCAAAAAGAATGAAAACAAGTCCACACAAAGACTTGCACATGAATGCTCAAGTGGCACTATTCAAACACTGGTAACATTCTTTTTTTTTTTTTAATTTCATTTATTTATTTTTTTATTTTAAAGAGTAAAAGGATAACAGTAATAGGGGGTGCTTACCAAATTACAGACAAAGTGGTAGGAAATAATCAATGCTTGTTGTTTTACATACTGTTATCTACAAGATAGTTTCTCAGGAAAAAAAATAGACAAATAACAGTGAGTTACAGACAAAAGTGGTAGGAGATTATCAATAGTTGCTGTACTATACTTTGGTATCTTCAAAGTGGCTTCTAAAGAAAATAAATAGAGCTATACATGAGTGACCAGTTGAATAATCATTAACTATTCTCAATGGTTGTTGTAGGAAACACATAATAATAAACATACACCCATTTATGAAATAGCATAGGAACAACACAAACATTACAGAGTCATGGACAGATTGGTAGGAAATTATCAATGGTTGCTGTAACACGTGGTGGTATCTTCAAAGTGGTTTCTCAGGAAGACAGAGATACTCAAGAAAGATTTAACTAGTTACAGCCTAAGGGTTGTGACAAATAGTGTATTACCTCCTCACCAGTG